TATATATACATACATACATACATACATAATTAATTTACCTTTATCCTATTAATGAAAATGAAATTATTATTTTTAATGAATTTTAAAAGTATGTTTAGAATTTAATAACAAATTTTCTTTTTAACTCATACAACCAAATAACAGAATTTAGGAACAAAATTAAGATTAGCAAGTAATATATATATATATATATATATATATATAAGATTCAGCTAACATCCATAATTTGAATTATTTCAAAATGCATTTGCAAAGTAGGCTTTATATCAGAAAAATAAAGTCGCTCAAGTACCTGTAATCTGCCTCCATATTTGGGGTTCGCATCTCGGAGCAACTGAACAAGCAAGTCTTTCTCCTTTTGGATCCATGGACGGTCATGATCAAACCACTGCCTTGGAGTTCCATGAAATAAAAAACGCAGGCTTGAATTGCCAACTAACATATTCTGTACAGCTCTATTGATCAGAGCTTTATCAGTCAAATAAGCTCCATGACAGTTCAGGCCAACATCAACATAGTGAAACTCAGATATGCTGTGAAGAAAACTACCATTAGAAGTAGTAAAGATGCCATCTTCTGCTTCTAAAGTTTGAGAATTTGACTTAACCAAGTTAATTGCATTCAGGTGAGCAAGTTCAGCAACAATTTGGTTTATTACAGTCCCACCTTTACTAAACCCAAACAATGCAGTTTTTGGTGAAGATATTTGTGATATTGCCAACTCATCTTTGTTGCCCAACACAGATCTTTTGATCTACACATCAACAAGAGAACAAATGCTTGATAACCCTATACCTAATGAAATTATTATGTTAAAAAGATTGCAGGAAAAAATATATGTAAGAATCATTAATGTGATTTATGGCATGATTAAAGATTCTTATCAGTTTCAAAAAAAAATTGATGCTTTGTTCAAATCAATCATTTAGAATGCATGTACTGCAATATTTCACAATACACTGAAATTGGTTGCTAAAAGCAGGCCAAAGTGGCATGAACATAACACGGGGAACAAGGTTTGGACATTACAGATAACAAGTTCATTTTTATGAGCTTCAAACATGTCTCCTTTAGTAAGGTCTAATCAGATTAATAAATGTACTGCAAGATAGTTATTGCTGAATCAAGCATACATCATCTTGTAGTAGTTCTGCAAATTAAGGAAAAATTATGAAGTTACAGAATCATGATTTTAGTTTCTTTTCAGTAGTTGTGTTACCTTGCAGTCAAGGGAGTTGCACTTTTTCAGTTCTGGAACATACAAATCCACAAATCTCACTGGACAAGTAACTCGAAGGATAGAGCTATCTCGAGTTGTGTCAAGAGAACCACATCAATTGCCGCCACATTTAATTGACAATATGCTTTTCAATAGCATAAAAAAATGTGTGCAATGATCCATAATATAGCATATATATAAAGCTGCATGAAAGCAAAGTAGTATGCAATGTTCATTTTGAGGGCACTGTAACTCATTACGTGCATATTGCGCACTATTTTATTGCTGACACTTGTGCACTCTCTCCACCATTTGTCAATTAATTATTATGCTCTTAACCTCCGATTATTTCCACATATTTTCTTCCTCTATTGCAGGTTGATTTCATATTTGTTTAATGCTCAGCTTATTCAATCAAATTTGTTTGATGATTAGTAAGATTTTGATTTATTTGCAGCTTAGAATTTGTTTGATTGCTGTTGATTATATCATTCAAATTGTAAAACTATCTATTGTAAGCATGTTGCTGTATTCATTAGCTAAAACAAAAAATTAAAAATAGAATTGTTAAAGTTGAGCCAAGCTTCTTAAAAAGATATAGCAAGAAAATATTATGCCTTCCGTTAACATTCATGGATGTTAAAACAATATTATGTTCTATTTATATGACATTAAGAGAGCATTTTTTCGCACTATGATTCTTTTTTTCTTATATTATAAAATTATTAAAAAATTATTCACAATTTTTTAATACGTTGTACTATTTTTAATCTGTGCTATACACTACGACTCAAAATAATCCATGTTGTTAGTGTAGATAATTAGTATTGACAAATATAATTAGTACCGTGATAGCAATTATAACAAATTATATACTAAATAAAAATAGTAATCATAATAATAATAAATTAATCTTTATGGAAACAAAACGAGCCTCATTACAACACATTATTTTCACTCTAAATCTACATATTCAATCAATATTGAAGGGAATTAATATGATTTTTAATTGCATGAACCTTTCTCCCCTAAAAATTATAAGTTTTCACCTCTTTCAATGATCACAAGCTTTTACAACTTCTCTGGTCAAAATCAGTGTGACCACCACCCTCTCCTCCTCATTTCCTTGTCCTCTCTTAGTCTTGACAATCCTACTCATTTTTTTATGATTGACAACATATATCATCCATTCCTCTTTTCTCCTTTTATCTCTTATGCATAAGACTCTACAATAACAAATGATCAGGATGCAAACAACAAAGAAGACCATTTTAATTATCTTGGTTTCCATCTTCTCATTTAATAAAGTAGTTAGATATTTTAATTTTTTGTCATAAATTGACTAAACTAAATTTTTTATTAAATCAAGTCCTCAGGTTATGATTGAATGGCAAATTACATATTAACTTGAGCGAAATTTTTAGTAAACATTTAACCTATAAATTACTCTGATTTGGCTTTCCTTCTTGAAATAGACCTAGCATAGTTAATACTAAAATCTTGGATTTAAGGTTGTATTTTAGATTTAAAGTTACATTTCCTAATTCTACAAATTTCAGCACAAATAAATAATTATTATATTATAGTATTTGTAGGTATATATATATGCAATTAATTAGAGTTTTTATTATATAGGATTTTCTATTGATCCTTATTTAGTGCTATTCCTTAGAGCCAAGATGAGAGTTGGAATCTGGTAATACACATCGAGGTAGGTAATTCTAATTTATTGGGAGATAAATATACCCCTACTCATTAAGGCATCTTTCTTGATACTTGATAGGCATCAACTGAATTTAATAAGCTCTCAATCATGCTTTATATAATCATCAAAATTTTTGTGTTCATATTATTATAACATATTATTATGGTGATTTTTGCATAAATTCAACATCTATAAACTAAACCATATAATGGCATAATCAGTTTTACTTTTACAATGCATTTGTTAATGTGAAATTAAATCATGCTCGTGTTATTTTAAATAAATCCAATCGAGAAAAAGTTGACCGACAGGTGTAATTCATTGACTCCATTATTGAAAATTGATCATGGTGTAGCATTATATAATTTTTGTTGGTGTTCTTGATGAAATAATCCTCAGCTATACCACCTTACTTATACACCACTAATTAGTCTGACAAATAACCTTGATGTGCAAAGTAACGACTCCTTTAGGACGGGTTGTCATTGGCACTAGAAGTGGGATTAATTTTAGGGAATCCACGTATATGATGAATCTAAAAGGGGTTGTTTAATAATAATCATAAAGTTTATTTCAAACTACTGGAGGGTGCTAGACTCCCTTGGGACTATTATTGGAATCCCAACACCTAATTTTTCTTCTTCGGTTGAGGTCGTGATGCAGAATTTCACGCGAGCTTTACAAGCCAACATTGTTGCTAATGTAGCTGAAATTATTCAGATAGTCATCAGTTCAATAACACGGTAGTTGACCACAATCAAACCAGCCATTACAATAACTTTTTTTTTTCCTTTAAAAAAAAGGCAAATTAGCAAGTAATAGTTGCACAAACAAGAAGTTAAAGTAATAGTTGCACAAACAAGAAGTTAAACATAGTTCCTTAGGCTAATATAAGATGGGTTGCACCTATTATGAAAACTAAAAGAGAGAGACTGAGTAATGGAGCTGTTCCAGAAGACTCGTGCTCTTAATTTTGATTGAGGAAGCCCTATGGAATCAGAAGTTGGTTTTCATGACAGTGAGAAGTGATTTAATCTTTCAAGTACCCAAAAAATTGAAAGATTTGATGCACTTTCATTTTTGAGATTGTTCTAGCAATTGGCGGAAGCGGAAAGAACATCTTTGCAACCAATTTGAGCCCGAGGTAGTGATTTTGAACAAATTTGAAAAATTATTTCAGGCATAATATATTCCATTGGAAAATCATGCAAGCCTGATCAATGACCCGAGGATATCAAAGTATGGATAAGGATCGAAGACTATTCATGAGTATAAAACTTGACAGCTTATATTGTCAGATTTCTTCCCTCCGTTGGGCAATATGGAACCAAAAGATCTAGAAGTTCCAACATGGTTTAAGAGAATATATCATGAACTATATATCCATCATCAGTTGCAAAACCTAAAGAGAACTGGTGGATTAAGCCCCTTCAAGCAAGAAAAAGAGATTAGCTCTGATGACGGAATTCTGGAATATGAAATAGCACGGATGCCTACATGAGTGGAGGTCCTTAGAGAAGTACATATTCTAATCTCAAAGTTCAAAACCTAAAGATAACCCTTGTTTTTTTTATTTTTTCCAAAGGATAATCTATGTTGTTCTTGTTGTAGAAACTAGAATGATATATCTTATAAATCTACAAATTGGCAAGTCTTTTGCTATTAAAACCTATCTCCACAAGATCAATTGTTATTGGAAGATCCAATGCAGCCAACTAGTGAAGAGAACTCAGAATTAGGGTTAGCTGAAGGGTGGATGGAAGAAACCTCGTGGAGGAATCAACGTCAAATGTCGGAGAAAAAATACAATTGAAGAAATACTAAGAAACATCAACGTCAAAAATGGACTACTAAGAAACATCAACAGCACCCTCCAAATCTATAATGCCAACGGTAAATTATAATACAGTATCACTTTAACCACCAAGCTAACGCCAACGGTAAATTATAATACAATATCACTTTAACCACCAAGCACCAACAATCGTGACCAAGAGAGACCAAAAACAATGAAGAAAAATAATTCCGCCACATTTTTCACAATGACTCAACAGGAATTGATAGGATAAAATTTTAAACTTTTTGGAAATTGACTGAACTCAATTTTGACTCGATTTTGAGATTCGTTTTGGACTTCAAAATGACTCAGAGTTGATTTAGAGAGTGCTCCGACTCAATCAAAATGAGTATTTACCTAAAATTTAAACTAAATATAAAGTTTTACTTCAAAATATGTAATTCGTATAATATAAATACATATAATATAAATTATGATAATCTATATTCATGCATGAAATTAAACAAAAAATCAATTTTAAGAAGCCTGCTTGAAATCAACTTCAAATCACCTCAAAATGGAAATGTTTTCAGTCAAATCCCTAATTAAAATGATTTCAACTTTGAATTAAATGTGAGTCCAGTTGCAATCAAGAATGTTGATTTCGAGGCAAACAAGCCTGAACTGGACTTCATATCACCCCTACTCAAGAGGACCCATAAAAGACTCGTGATATTGTGAGAAGTACAATCATATTCTAAAGCAATCGAGTAAAATTTCATTTGATTCCTAAGCTTTACATTCACACACATTAAATAACTTTGAAAAAAGTTCATTGGTTTCATTATTACATCAACCTTTATTAGTTATTATACAATTTGGTATGATTGCAATATTATAATTAGGGATAAGAATGGCTTGTTATGGTGCCAAACCACCCAATATTTAAAATTGAACAAAACAAAACTAATTAATTAAGCCTCAACAAAAACCTCAATTTGCAATTTTAGAACAAAATTTTTAAGTAATTGAATATTTGATTTTGATTAGATTTTACTTACTTTAATTTGATTTTAAATTAGTTTTAATGATTTGACTAGATAAATTTATCCTGAAATGGAGTTATTAAAAATATTTCATCAAAGATAATGCTTCCAAACAAACAAACAATAGCAATAACAAGTTTTTATCCCACTAAGTAGGGTCGGCTACATGAAACCCTTTTCTCCATTTCGCCCTATTGAGTGTCATATTTTCATTTAATTCTAATAGATTAAGAATATTTTTTATACAATACGCCCAGGTCTTCTTAGATCTACCTCTGCATTTCTTAACATAAGTCGAATCTAAAACATCTACACTCCTAACATGATTGTCAGATGGTCAATGTTTAATAATCTAAGACGACTCTCTCTAATCTTGTGTGCCACTAGAGGTACACCAACCCTATCACAGATATATTCATTTCGCATTTTTTCTCAAAGTGTTAAGTCACCCATCCACCCAAGCATTCTCATCTCAGCAACACTTAACTTTTTTTCATGCTTCTCTTTTAAAGTTCAACATTATGGGTCATAGAGCATTGCAAGTCTCACCACCATCTTATAAATTTTTTCTTCCAGTCTAAGTCGTACTTTTCTATCACACAATAGGCCCGATGCACTCCTCCACTTCAACCAACCAACTTGAATTCTACTAATAGCAACCTTATCTATATCACCATCGCTTTGAACAATAAACCCGAGATATCTAAAACGTTTACACCTTTTAATGATTTGATCACTCATAGTTACAACTTTGCCACTAGATCCACTACTACTAAAATTACATTCCATGTATTCAGTTTTAGATCTACTCAAACTAAATTCTTTATATTCAAATGTAAACCTCGATAATTAAAGTTTTTTCCTGAACTCTTTCTCTAGTCTTATCCACAAGAAGGATATGAATAGTGAAGAGCATACACTAGGGTACATCCTATCATAAATGTCCATCAAGAGCATCCATAGCTAAAGAAAAAAGACATGGACTTAAAGCTGGTCCCTGATGTACAACTGAAATAGGAAAATACTTATTCAATCCTCTTTCTGTTCGTACAAAAGCAATGACTCTAGCATGCATTTCTTCAATGACTTGAATATAAGTCATATTAACATCTTGCTTCCTAGAACTATCCAATGGACTTCTCTTTGAACCTTATCGTTAGCTATTTCTAAATCAATAATGTCGAACCTCCTTATCCTCTCTATACTTCTCCATTAAGCCAAATTAATTGAGTTAGAAAAAAATGTATCAAGGTCTTCATAAAATTTTTTTAATGGCCTAGTATAAAAAAGATGCGGCAAACATATGGCTTTACTAGTAGATGGTTAGAGTGAAACATCAAAATCCGGGTATAAAGTTGTATCTTCTTCATATTCTAAAGTAGAAGTGAGAGGAGATTGCTACAAATTTTATAGTTAGCCAATCGAGGTTAAGTCCAAATTAGGTCATAAATATAGTCCAGTAGCAGATGAACTCATAAAAATATAATATTTCTCTACAATAGTCATATAGTGGAGAATTGGCAAACATCTATATAGACAACATCGTTTGATAGCATAAGATATTAGTTATCATTGTATCTTATTGAGATGGTAGATTTTCACTTCTAGGATACATTAGATGTAAGAAGTTTTAATAAGACAAATTTTAATGTTTCACAATAAGAATATAGTTTGTATGAGCATACTACATAGACCTTGGAAGATTTATTAAGAACTTTTTTTTTTTATTTGGAGGCAACTAAAAGGATAAAACTCTACTTGTGGCATTCACTGACAATAATAAATTTCATGCTATTATTAGCATGGCATTATATGCCACAATAGAAATGAAATATAAATTTCTTTTATGTTGGTTTGAGGTTAGTGAGAGAAAATTTGTAAGATCTCAATTAGTGGATGAGATATTGTTGAGTTCAATTCAAATAACTTCGTACAAATGATGAAAATGAAAAAAAAAGCCAAAAGAATTGTCTGTTGATCTTTATTTTACTACCTATCAAACCAAATAAGGGTTCTCGTCCATTTGAAACTCACCCAAAGTTCTCCCTAGAATTTTACCACAAACTAGACTCGATCACTACACAACTAATTATATGAAATCCAAATTCTATACTTTTTATATGATTGCACTATGCCGCCAATGCATTGATCCTCAAATATAAAAAGAGTCACCAATCAAGCACGTACATCATCTGATCTTAAAATCTTTATGCCAAAACTCTATCTCACCAATGTCCTCTCAAAATATATCTAAGATTATGCTCAAAATCTCTCTCTCACTAAATTGCCTCTATGTCAAGATATATCTAAGATTTATGCCAAAACTCAATTTGACTTGCCTTTCTATGTCAAGGAAATTAAATCAAGTTTTTTATAGATCATTCACTTATGAAACTTACTAAGATTTAGCCTCTCTATCTCTCTCATGCCATTTGCTCCTAGGAATCACTTCATAGTTTCATACCTCTAGTAAATTCTTAGTAATTTGACATTAATAATATTGTATCCGACAAAAAGTATCCATGTTTTGCATTCAAAGGTGAGTTTAAGATTTGTGCCACTAAATACAAAAAATGGATTATGCTTACTTTTTTATTATTATGTTTGTCCATCGAGTTCCCACCAGTATTTAATGTAACATAGTGAAATGATTGGGAAAATGAATTCAAGTCTTAGAATTCAGTCTCTCTAGTTATGAGATTTGCATGTATTTGCTTTATATTTAACAAACATCAATCCAGAACTCAAACAAGATTAAACATCCTGCTATTATCAAGAATTATTATCCAAATAAATCTTAGCCCATTAGTATTTTTCTACCAACAAACTCAATCATTTTTCAACTTTAGTGGATGTTTGGCGATAAGAAGATACAATGATTTTGTAAATCTCGTAAATTCAAATTTAAATAATCCTGAAAACATTAAATCCATAAACTATTTAATGTGAGATATTAAAACAAGTTAAATCTTAATAATTTAGTTAATATATATTTTTTAATTTTAAATTATAAATAAAAAATTTAGGAATTAAATAAGAAGAAAAATATATACAAAAGTTGTATAAATCACTTAAATCTTAGTTCATTCAGATTTACAAAATTGAAAGTTATTCTTAATACATCATCAAAAATTTTACTTGATCGGGTGTGATCTCGATGAACCTTGAATGGGATAATCTCCAAAGTCAAATTCAAGATCATCAAAGCTCTAATTCAACAAATTTTCAGTTCAACTGAACCTCTTGACAAGTTAAATCTAAAAATATCAAAAGTGATCTAATTATAAAAGTAAATTAAACACCTAAAGAAATGTTGAAAGTTTTTTAACATTAATTGAAGGATCAAATCGTTTCCAATACTTGCATAAATATAGTCAAGCATCTCGATGAAAGAAATTTAGTGAGCCTAAAATTAAATAATTCTGAGACCATTCTATAACTAAATGAATTAACACGGGCTATTTGATAGTGTTTTGAAATTTTAGTTAAGTTTACAAAAAGGTCAATCGTGGAAACTATGAATGAACCCCTATTCTCAATATAAAAGAAAATTGAACTTGAGTATTGGAAAGAGCTTTACCACCATCATTTAGTCATTGTTGTCCAACAACCTTCACTCAATTATGATTATCAAATCATTGTTTCCAACTATAGTAATAAAATTGTTGTCACTTGACCGTCATCATGATATCTTCACTTTGCACGACTTCCATCATAATCAAATGAGTTATCTTGTAATTTTGCATTACCCAATTGAGGGGAAAAAAGATCTAAACAATCTGAAGTAATGTAACGGATTATTTTATTTAATCTAGGCCTCGCAATTATTTTTAGTATTTTTTACGTAAATTTTAGTATTTTCAATATTATTCTTATCTATATATGTGTGTAAGGAATCTTAGTACAAAACTAAGATGTAAAAGCCCCATTCTACCGCTACAAAAACATAAGTTTGGAGAGACCTTGAAAACCTAATAGACTCAAACTACACTTAACCGTTATAATCTGGCCACCATCCCCCAATTATTGTCGCCTCATCATCATCACCTCATCGTCGTTATCACACTGTCGTCTCTAAATTGCATCCATCCAATCTTTGCCACTAAATTATCATCGCATCATCATCACTCTACACAACTTCGACAATAATTATCAGATTACAAGCTAGTTCAAAGTGAATTATTTTGTAATCTTATCTTCTCTAATTGAAGGAAAGAGCATTTCATTATATTCTAAGTAATATTGTGAATTATTTTTACTTAAATCATCCCTCATGATTTTTTTTCCATTTTTCAAATTTTCCATATAAAATATTTGGTATCTTAGTGTATTATTTTCATCTATTATTTGTAGAATTTTCATATAAAATTAGAATGTAAAACCCCACACTTTATCCTCATCAATTTTCTAGCACTCAACAGTATTAAGTTTTAAATAAAATAAAATTGGGATTTTTACATAACAACCATAAAAAATATTGAATATAATATTTTAACCCCCCAAAATTTTAAATATAGCATTTTAACCACAAAAAATTTTCACTTAAAGCCTTCACTAGTCGGTAAAAGAGACTGATTAGACAAACATTAGAGTAAATCCTGGCCAAATCTAGCGGCAAGTACCAGCCTTAATAGTTTTTCTTCTTTTTCTTTTTCTTTTTTTTTTTTGTTTATATAATGCCTAGTCTAGGCCATGCGCAGAAAAGAAAGCCCCTAGGAAACGCAAAAATCAACTCAAACCTGATCAATACTCTTCAATAAGATCGCCACAATACATCTCGATGCAGGGAAACCATCCGGATCGTAGTGTTTCGGCTCTCCACGGGAATTCACGCTCGGAACGAACTCCCTGAAAATAGCAAATGGCCCGTTAAAGGTGGAAGCCTCAACCACCCATGCGTTGGCGGAACTCCCGAACTTCGATACCAGAATCTCTGCAATATTCTTCGAATCCGATAGCCGCTCGATCACCGGATTCCCGGTGCCCTCAACCCTATCCCCCTTGAAGAAGATGGCATTCACGGAAGGTATCTGATGAAAAGAATAATTAGGGTTTACAATTCAAGGGTCTAGAAAAGGGCAGCATGCTTACGGCTAGAGTGTTGGATGATGGACAGAGAAGAACTGAAGCCGCGACTTGAAAGAAGGGACCGGCATTGCAAGGGTTCAGGTGCACCTTCAGAACTCCCGCCCACCGTTCCATTGGAACCATCTGCCATACTATAACATGGCGACACCATGGAATAAGACGATAAATGGGCTTATGCTTATCAAATGAATATTCAAATCTACCTATGTGTATTCCTAGCAGGCCAAGTCCACTACAACAGTTTGTCCCCGGAAGGCAGCATCGTTCAAAGTGTTCAAAATGGGCTCAGGTAGCCCATATTCTAGTTGCTCTTTTGTTTGAAAAAGTGAATGTTGTAGCCCACTCTAATATTGAGAGGTTATTTTGTTGGGGAGAAGCCATGGATTCATATCTGTTATCTGTTAAGGGGGCTACAAACGAACCGAGCCACGCCTGAGCAAGGGCTTGTCGAAGCGGATTAGGGTTTGGTTCATCAAGGAATTATGGAGCGTATTAATGAACACTTAAATTAATAAAAATGAGTTATGGTTGAGCATTTACTGAATTTTAATTGAGCATAACTCAAGTTTTTTATGAGTAATTTATTAGAAAAAATAAATAAGTCATACTAAACAACGCAAGTTAATCTAAAAAATTAATATTTAAATAATTTTGTTAATAAACGAGCAGTAATTAAGCCATAATTGAGTTTGTAAATGAGTTTTAAATATTATTCGTGAATATGAATCAACCAAACAAACAGCTTAAACTTTCTTCATCTAATAATCAAGTGCTTATAATTGTTTAGACTTAAACGATCATGAACGAGCTTTAATTGAGGTGATCTACACTAATTTGTCGAACATTTAGTTCATTTGCAATCATATCTATTATTTTGCATATTTTTTTTTTCATTTTATCAAACATCTTGTTCATTTTGCATATATTTTGCATTTCTACTAATGACAAACTACCTTTGAATTAAGCAAACCAAATAGAAGATGAAATCTTCATCTCACCATAATGAAATGTAAGAGTGATAATAAAGAAATTAATAATTGACAATAATAAATCCATAAATACTCATAGTTAAGTTATTAAAGAATGAAGAAGGAGAAATAATTGCCTTACACTTTCCAAAAGTTTAATTGAGAGTTTGTGCTACTTGATTTGCATAAAGGCTAATATATTTTATGTTCTTGGACTTGTGCGCTAGTATATGGAAACTTCAAAGTTGACCTCCTTAAAAACTATAAAAAGAATCCTACGATATATCAAAGATAAAATTGATTTAGAAATGCATTTTTCATTTGCTAAAAAATACAAACTGCTGGATGTAGCAACAAGAATTGAATCAAAGAAATTGGTGATATAAAGAATATCATGGGATACACTGCTTTCATTTTAATGTTCAAGATACAATCGTTGTCACCATTTTTACTTGTAAAATGTTATATGCTATTGCAACTTCATATGTTTGGCATGCAATTTAGCTTCAAAATTTGTTGAATGAGTTAACTTTGTCACAAGATGCAACAATGATTTAGATTGACAACAAGTTCGCAATAGTCCTATAAAATAATCAAATATTTTATGATAAAATCAAACATAATGATACTCACTATCACAATTTTAAAGAGTATATCACAAGAAATGAGATTCAAGTGAAGTATATGAATTTTCAAGATAAACTTGTAGGCATATCACCAAGCCGACCACTCAAATGTAAGCCTAAATCCAAAAATGAGCCTATTATCTAGAATATTCATATGAGGATTAGGCAGACATATTTTAGTCTTGATAGAGATCTAGAAAAATAAATAATGGCATTTACAATAAGAGAAAAATTAAAGGGTCACTTTTAGTCATCTAATTATAATACGTTGAGTTTATATAAGTGAAAAAAAGGATATAATAAATTATATATTTCATCAAATTTAAATTTTCCATCACAATATTTATGATTTGTCGCAGTGTAACCTCGCTCGTATCGACTCTGCACACTTCCCCAAACGATCCCCACCGCCGTCACGCGGCACACCACCTCCACTCCCGACGCAGACCCACCGCAACATCTACTCCGCACGTGCCACTCCACCTGTCCTCCCCCTCCTCCCATCCTCCCTTTATTTCTACCCACCGCCACCTCTCCCCACTCCGTCCATCACCCTCCCACCCCAAACTTTTCGACCAAATTCCCCAACAAATCCCACCCCATGGCAGAGTACGGCCGAGTAGGAGATCGCGGACAACACCAACAAAAACAGCAATCCACCGCCCAACAATTACTGAAAGCCGTGACGGCAATTGCCACCGGAGGCTCATTGCTGGCCCTGTCCGGCGTGACGATGGTAGGGACAGTAATCATACTGACAATCGCAATGCCTCTGCTGGTCATTTTCAGCCCTGTTCTCGTGCCGGCCGCGATCGCCGTGGCACTGATCGGGAGCGGTTTCCTGGCTTCAAGAGGGCTGGGGGTGGCGGCGCTCTCCGTGCTGGCGTGGATGTACAAGTACATGACAGGGAAGCATCCGGTGGGGGCGGATCAGATCGACCAAGCGCGCGCGAGGATTGCGGCGAAGGCGAGGGATATAAAGGAGTCGGCGCAGCAGAAGGTGGAGCAGGCGACTTCTTGATTGGGAGTGTGGATGTATTTGTTTTAATATTGCGTTATGTTGTTCAGTTTCCTACGTGGTGTGTTGTTGCATGGTAAGTATGGTTTTTGTGTTTTGTTTTGCATGTTGCTGGCTGTTTGATGTGTTGCATGTTTGAGTAAATGTGTTGCTTCTTTTGAAAATGTTTTAGATGTTTATGAAGTTTGTGGAAGAGCTTTGGAAGCAAGATCTGGATTATGTGTATATTTTGGTTGCATTTGGATTCATTTAAGGGACTAAATGTTACGTCATGATAAAATCTCAACTCATCTTTTTGGAAATATTGCTGGGTCCTCGTCACTTGCTTGTCATTGTAGCCATCACCACACATATGGGTGTCTGTAACAACCGACAAGTCAAAATGACGAACTTGTTTATGAGTATTGCTTTGAGTTAGATCATTTATGACCTAGGAGAAAATTTCTGATTCAAGCAATATTATGACAAAAAGATGAAAAGAATGAGAAAATAGATGGATAAAAATAATAAGTTTGACAAGATTATGTGATGGTGGGCATATTAGAATTTTATGCTCTAGTTATTTTAAGAGGAGATGAGCTCATTTTGATCGCAAGCACGCAACATAAAGAGTTTTATTACTTTTGCTCAAAATGTACCATGAAATTTGTTATTATACTTTAAGGGCTTTGTTCATACTCATTTAAATTTTTAATAAAATACTTTTGGTGCCAATGGACTTTTGGCACATTAAAATTGACTTATATTAAAATTCTTGATACACCTTCAATAAATTTTTATCATCAAGCACAAATCTCGAGACATAACACGTATTTTGAGGTAAATTTCTAAGAAAGAAATGTTCAAACTTTAGTAAAAAGTCATCCGTGAGTCTAATTTCAACAGACTTAAAGTCAAACTGATCGGTTCAATGAGAAGAACCTAATAATAACAAAATTAGTCCAATTTGAGTCAAATTAAGCTCTGATCAAGACATTAAACCACTTTTGGAAGCTTTCCGGACGTATTTGAAGGATCAAATGGATGTCGAATCTAACTAGTCTATTGTCAAATCGAGCGTCTCGATAAGATGCTCAGATGTTTATCAAATAGATGTTGAATCCAATGAGCCCAAAATCACTCAATTCTGACATCATTAAGATACTCAATGTCCATCATACGCTATATAATCAAAGGAAGCTCTCCACCCCTCTCATTAGAGGTGTCTGATCAAAGTGATTTATATTTCAACATTAATTGAACTTAGAACTCTATAAATACAACTCCACCCTTCTCTTAAAAAGGGATGAGAGCTTAAGACTTGAAGAAGAGCTGTCACATCACTTCTATTGTAGTTGACCACCACTTGTCGTTCGTCATTAATCGCTATCAGTCGCCGCTTGTTCCTTTCCACAAGTTCATCCGCACGTCGATATTGTAATTTAGAAGACTTTGTAATCCTTTCTCGTCTGTGGGACAAGGGGTTCTTGCAATCATCAACTTATAGTGAATTTTTGTAATTAAGTCAGACCTCATGGTTTTTTCCTATTTTTCGGGTTTTTTATATAAAAATTTATGGTGTTTCTACTAGTTTTTTTTCTCTTATCTTAGTATGTGTTGAATTCTAGGGCAACACTAAGACGATAATCTATTACTCTACCTCCGTGAATCTTCTAGCATGCATCAGTTTGGTGTCGTTTGTGGGAAGAGAGTATTCCACCATTAAGATACTTGCGAGAATTGTTGCATGACCATTGGGTGCAACACTCGCAACAACAGAGCATCATGCTCCAACACCCATCATTCCAAAAGACAGACATGGAACCAAGAGCGTCAAGCCTCAGCATCCTTCTACTACGGAAGGCATTACCCCACTGAAGAAGGTGTCTTAGATCATTACATAGGATGGAGGAGTCTCAACACGAGATCCTTCATCTCCTACGCCAAGAGAGACAACCACAACCCAAGGGAGCTTACTTACCACAAGTTCATCAATCAAAAGAAAATATTCCACTCACTAATTTCTCTCCTAATGATCAAACCATTTCCTTGCCGAGATGGGATGTTGATCTTCTCAAAATCTCACTCATCCGTCTCATGTAGCTCACATTGCACTGCCCTGCCTTACTTTCACTTCTATTGATATCATCTGTAATGAGCTGCAACACCTAGATCAAGAAGAGTTCCCTCTAGATAAAGTAATCTTTTTCCCGCTTGCCATAACTTTTAAGAATTTTCTCTTTTGGCTGAAGCGTTTCTTCGACACCCTATCCCAGTGGGCTTCAAACTCCCTAATATCGATGTTTACAAAGGGGTCACTGACCCACATGAGCACGTCGACCATTATCGAACTATCATTCAAATTTAACGTACCTCTGATGCGCTTCTCTGCCAAGTGTTCCATGCGAATCTCAAAGGTCAAGGTCACACATGGTTCTACTCCCTCTCGGAAGGCACCATCAATAGCTTCAATGGGCTTGTCAGACTATTTGTAGAGCATTTCATAGAAAATAGATGATCATTAAAGATTCAAGCCACTTTTTGGGAGTCAACTAGAATGAGGGGGAGTCCCTTAAGGAATAACTATGCAGATTCTCCACTGAAACCTGTCAGATTTCGAGAGTGGATACGAAGTTACTGAGATGAGTTTTTCTTGGAGAGCTTCGCCCATGTCCTTTCTATTCATCACTGATGTGGGAGACGTTGCGGTACTATGTCGATCTCATCAATCACGACAAAGCTCAAATCTTTGCAGACGAGGCCATCAGTGAACACAAGGAACAATTCAAGTAATTAGGAAGCAAACACAAGAATAAACGTCGAGACATCAATATAATCTCCAATTCAAGTAATTAGGAAGCAAACACAAGAATAAATGTCGAGACATCAATAAAATCTCACAACAAAAAAAGTTGGGACCACTAGAAAATCGTGAGTCACAATCACAAAATAAATAAATTCCACTCAACACCTCACGTGTCAACATTATAATGATCATCAAAGATGAAGAGACCATCAAGTGGCCAAGGTTGTTAAGAAATCTAGATAGTGCAGACCAGTCTTAATATTGTTATTTCCACCATACAAAAGAACATTCAACAGAAAAATATTTTCAATTAAAGGAAAAAATTTGAAAGTTTGATACATCAAGGTTACCTAGGTCGCCACTTACAAGAATAAGGTAAAGGGAACCAAAAGAGAATCTCAGAGTTATTGAATGAAAAGTACAACTCCAAATTATCTTATTTTAGTAAAGGAATGACTTATAACCTCCTAATTTTATTCTAGTAAAATTCTTATGTTTCTTTAAACTATCATTTTAATGAAATTTTCTTATTTGCTATCACAAAAGATTTTTGTGTAGAAAGTTCTCTTGAAGGCAAACACAGACAAGATCTCCACCATACCATTAGAAGTCGAGCCCAAGAAGCAAGACTTGATGAGAAGATATGGTACCCTTGGAAGTCAGGCCCAAAAGGCAAAACTCTATAAAAAGCTACCATGCCCCTGACAATCGAGCCCAAGAGGAAAGACTCGATGGGAATATACGATACCTCTAGAAGTGAGTCTAAGAATTCGACAGAAAGCTACCATGCTCATGGAAGTCGAGCCTAAGAAGTAAGACTTAAAGGAAAGATATGGTGCCCTTGGAAGTCAAGTTCAAGAGGCAAGACTCAATGAGAAGCTACTATGCCTTTGAAAGACGAGCTCAAGAGGAAAATCTTGATGGGAAGTTAGTAGTAGACAGTGTTCTCACTAGAAAGACTCCAAGAGAGCAAGTGGTTGACAAGGTCTCCACTCAAAGACCTCAGAAGGTTATAATCCTCAAAAGGCAAAAATATAGCAAAGACCTTAGAAGGCTACAATCCTTAGAAAACACATGTACATCAAAGACATCAGAAGGCTACAAGCCTCAGAAGACAGTTACATCAAAGACCATAGAAGGGTACAAATCTCAAGAAACACATTTACATCAAAGAACTCAAAATGCTAATAGCCTTAGAAGACACACATACATCAAAAACCTTAGAAGGCTACGAGTCTCAAAAGACACCGACACATTTCAATCTCCTGGAAGGTATAAGCCTATCAAGGCATAAACGCCAGAAGATACATGACCAAGAAAGCACAACCTTAAAAGGCACGAGCATCAAAAGATAAACAATTCTTTTTTATGTAAATGCACAAACTAACTTTGATTACAGACTTCCGCATGCTTTAAAAGCCAAAGAACCTTAGAAGAAATAAGCCTCGAAAGAGGTTGACACCAATATGCAACCTATAAGTTGGGTAACAACACCATAGAAGTGGGGCAAAAACATCCAAAAAGGGGCAACTCCAACTCAGAAAAAAAAGACAAAAGCAACCTCAGAAGCAACATTCATATTTTTATTGCATTGAATTAGATAATAACGTATAGACAAACACATCATCACTGTGTACACATGCCACATTAAGTAATTGAAAGGCTACAAAGACCAACATATACTTGTACAAGGGCTAGAACAAATGAGCTCATCTTCGAGTGGTGTGACATTGCCTCTACAAAATTCTAGTGCTTCTGCTGATCTTAAGGGGGTCTTCAAATATCATCACCACATAAACACGAAAATCTCCACCTCAAAATGCGTCGGGAAAAGTCCAGTGTTTCTTCTTCTTCATCGTAATGCGTATCAGCAATTTGTAAGAAAATCCCGAGTCACCTGCTGAGTAGGGAAGGAGATAACATTTTTCATCTCAAACGGGTGAAAGAAGATCTCATTGATCGTCCACTACATAGGTCAGGGATGAATTTCTTCTGCACCAACTTCACAAAAGAAGATATCGTTGGTCGTCTACTATGCAGAACAATGACAACATTCTTCAACACTGCAGTGCAAAAGAGCATCTTGTTGCTCAGCTACTATGCAGGACGTGGACGACTTTATCTTGCAGCGCAACACAAAAGAAAATCCTATTATTTTCTTGCTACATAGGATGAGGATGAATTTTTCCTACACAGTGCCACAAAAGAAAATCTCGGACACAAGATCGGGGATAACTTTCGGGACAACTTTCTCCTGCTCCTCCATGAGAGAAAATTGCGAAAGAAAATCCTAGAGGTCCTGTGTGACATGGTCGGGGATAACTTTCGGGACAGTATGCTCCTGCTCCTTAACGAGAGAATACCGCAAAAAAAATTCCTAGAAGTCTTGCGTGGCAAGCTCGGGGATAATTTTCTGCAGCTTCTCCATAAGAGAAGACTGTAAAAGAAATCCTAAAGGTCCTGCATGGCAGGGTCGGGGGTAAATTTCGGAACATCTTCTCCTTCTTCTACCACTCTCTCCCTCTCTTGGAACTCCACTCTTCTTCTTCTCATTCTCCTTCTCCTCCTCCAGCTTGTGTTTTTTTCTCTCATTCAATGTTTTTATTTATAGGCTTAAGAGAAGTACTAATTTTAAAATAGTTGTTAAAAGAAAAAAAAAAAATTGAAATATGCTCAAATTCACTAGCCGCTTGGCCTTCCGCCTTCTTGTCTTCCATTCTGCTTTCTATATATATATGAAATAATGTTAAATGTTTCCAATTTGGATATTTTTGGATTTTGAAGTTTACCTCGCATGAAAATAAGTGGGCAACTGATACACTTTCAACAAATTTTTATCATCAAGTATGAATCTCGAGATAATTTTAAAAGCAAGAAATATTCAAACTTCAATAAAAATAGATATACGGAAGTCCCATTTAGCAAACTTGAATTCTAATTTATAACAGACCAGCCCCAATGAAACACGAAAGAAATAATAATTTTTCCCAGGAGGGGATCCAACACACCTCATGGTGCAAAAAGTGCGGCCCAATTGAGCTAAGCTCATTTCTATGTAACCAATGTGCTTATTTTATTCTCATAGTTTTCTAATAGTAAAATTATGTGTGTGTGTGTGTGTGTGTGTGTGTGTGTGTGTGTGTGTGAGAGAGAGAGAGAGAGAGAGAGAGAGAGAGAGAGAGCAAAATATAATAAAATGTTAAGTATTTCGAATTTGGATATTTTAAGGTGTTGAAGTTGATCTCGACTGAAAATAAGGGGACAACTGATACACATTCAACAAATTTTAACACAAATCTCGAGACATGACACATATCTTGAGGTAATTTTTAGAGCAAAAAACATTCAAACTTCAATAAAAAGACATCCAGATGTCCGATATAAGTAAACATATATTCTAAATGATTGACTCAACGAGATAAACCCAATGATAATAAATTTGGTTTAATGCGAGCCAAATCAAAACATTAAACCGCTTTTGGAAGCTTTTTGGGTATATTTGAAAGTCAAACAAATACAAAATCTAGCAATTTTATAGTCAAATCGAGTGTCTCGACAAGAAGAACCCAACGAGCCCAAGATCGCTCAATTCCGACATCATTAAGACACTTAAATGTCTATCAAATACTGAATGATTAACGGAAACTCTCAGGACCGTCCAATCAAAGTGGTTCATATTCTAACATTAATTACACTCAGAACTTTATAAATATAGCTCCACCCCTCTTATTAGAGGGGGATGAGAGGTTGAGGCTTGAGGAAGAGTTGAAGTCTCGCACTACTCCTACTGTTGTCAACCACCACCTGCCAGCCGTCGTCGATCGCTATCGCTCCCCACTCTTTAATTCCCACAAGTTCATCTGCATGTCTACATTATAATTCATAAGAATTTATAATCTTTTCCTGCCTGTAGGACAATGAGTCTCTGTAATCAACTTATAATAGATTTTTGCAACTAGGTCAGATCCCATGATTTTTTTATTTTCTAAGTTTTTCACTTAAAAACTTCTAGTTTTTCTACTAATTGTTTCCTTTTATATGATTATGTGTTAAAATCTCGTGCAATGCTAACCCACATCAATTACTCTACCACCGTGAATCTTCTAACCCACATCAATTCTAAAATCAAAATTTGAATGATCTTGAGTTTAATTCTTAAATTATTTTTATAACCTATTAATTACAATATTAAAGAATATGTAATACTTTGATAATAATTTTTAGCGCAATAAGTCTATTGGAAGGAATGATTTTTCTTTTTTCAATTTATTAATGTTAGGCGGAAATAATGTGCAATAAATTCATAATAGTTAGCTAGAAAGTAATGAATAAAATTTAATTTGAATTTGGTAATAAGTTTCTCTCTATATATCCTAATAATCTTTTACTTGAAAGAAGAATTTTTGAAACACACATCTTTAATAAGTTTTTGAAGCCCTCTTTCCATAGCATCTTCTTGCATTCGCTTTAGAATACCTCCATGTATTAATGAAAAACCTATTACACTATCATAGTTTCATTAATGCTTAAATTTAATTATATATCCTTATATTGTCATGACAATTATGTTTTAAAAATTCTTATCTGACATAACATTTATTTTGTACCAATCTTTCAAACACATGATTAGTAAATGTCCCCTTATTTTTGATACTTGATATCATATACCTAGTAATACTACTATTTTTATGAGTTATCATCATCATAGCTAATAAATCCAATAATAAACCATCATATGATATTATTTTCAACAACAAATATAATCCTCAATTTATATTTTGTTACTAAGCAAATCCCTATTAATCTTAAGAGTATCAACATCGCTAGAGAATTTATCATGTAAAAATAAAAAATAATTGAGAACCCTAGATTTTTCTTTAAATATAATACTTAGCTAACCTAGCAAATTATATGGTTACATTATCACGTGATCCTAATTATTTAGTGCCAAAGCCTCCAATACTTCTGCGAAAGTAGTAAATTTTAAAAAAATTAGATCATACTTGAATCACTTGTTTCGGACACCTCGCTTCAAGGTTGTTTCGGCTATTTCCGGCTTTAGATTTCTGACTTCCAGCATCTCGTTCTGAAAGCGAGTGATGTAGGTCAGTATGCTCTCGTTTTCTCCATGCTTGAGGTTTAGCAGGTTGTCCGAGTTTTTCCTTGACTTCCGCACATTTGATAAGCTTGAAACGAAGAGACTCTTAAACTCATAGTAACTTGGAATGGATTCGGTCGGCAAACTATTGAACCATCGAAGGATCGACTCTTTTAGGGTGGTTAAGAAGAGAATACACATTATTAGGTCGACAATTTGAAGCAGACCGACAGATGATCCGAACGATGCGACGTGGTTGATTGGGTTGATCCTCCTTTTGTAAAAAGTTAAGCGAGGAATCCTTAGCTTGGGCGGAGGTATCGTCTCTTTAATTTAGCAAGTAAAGGCCCCTCCTGCGAGCGACAGAACAGACACTCACATCAGTTCTTCTCATCTCCCGTTCGTCTGCGCAGATATGACTATGTCGATGTATTGGGATTTGTCTTGTTTCTCTGTCTGCTGGTTGCTAACCTGATTGTGTGGGATAGCTGGATTTCTTGGTGGGGGCCTTTGGGGACGAATCCCCAGGGGTTCCGTTTCTAGGAGAGGCGCTTGGTCGTTCCCCTAGGTGATCGTTGCCCAGAGGACCTCTAATTGCTCATCATGAGGGTCATTTGAGCTGGCAAGCCTTGAGTCTACGCACAGACATCTGGTTGTATAGAGTCTTTGTTGGGTTTCATGCACGTTCTCTTTTAGAAGTTTCTCCTTCATATTTTGCTCTGCTTCGCGCCTGGGGCATGTCTGCACTCATCACACTACCTTTCAAGATGTTGGATTTCTTATTGTCTTTTGTGAACAACCTGTAGAGTTAAAGTGGAGTGAAGGAGTAGAGGAAGAGAGATAGTAGAGTAGAGCCTAGAATTCCTTGTCTCAAGGGTCTAGTTTCCATGGTCCCCTTTATTCGTATTTTTTTTCTCTATTTATGGAGATGTATTTAGTACAATTACAAAAAAAAAAAACAGTTATGAAACCCATTTTTAATATGAGTAAAACACTAATTATTTGAATTTCAATTATGACAAATGATCGGCTGGCAGACTGGCTTGAACTCGATTGACTAAGACGACCAGCTGAATGACGATCGTGTCCTCTGACATACTTGTCGGTCGGTCGAGGTGCTTGGCCACGTGGTGATCTTGTTCGTCGTGAATCGATCAGTCTGTCGCGGTTGGGCGCTCTTATATGCATCTTGGCCAGTCGGGACCGTAGCTTTGTCCACTGTTAATCTCTCACAGCAGGAGATTGGTCGAATTTTCCTTGTCGAGATGATAGGGCAGTAAGACATTTTGTTTTATGACTTTGAGATTTGTGCTGGTATTTTTGGTGTACACACACTAGTTGAAGAGCCACGTCCAAGTAGAAGTGTCCCCTTACCATATAGCTCCAACGAATGTATTAACGGATACAACATAGTTGTTGGGCCGTATAATCTGGCTATTAGGGTCATTTTATAACGAGATAAAAGTGAAATCCACTTGCAGACAATATCGAAACCATCATGTAGGGTAAGTTTCGAACCCTTGCAGATATGATTTGAAAAATGACCATAATAGACAGGTTCGAACCATCGAAAAATGGCAAACGAAATGAGCTTGCAGATATAAAATATATATACGATGATGATCAGGAAATGAACAAAGCACATAGATAACAAAGCCTCATCTAAATCTGACACAACTCATGCTCAAGAGTCCAAGGATGACTAGAATTAATTTCTCCGCTATAACTAAGAATCAAATCTGACCAAGTTTCTTGAACTAATTCTAATTACTAAATGGGGTTACAGGGAATAGTTATCTTGATTCTCTCAACACACCAAGCCAATGACCTTCTCAAACTTGACAAATCGTTATGCAGAAACAGCAATCAAGGAATCAGAACGGCTAATTAACACCGGTGAGAAAAGGCATCAGTTTTATCAGAAGAATTCGAAGTCCAGATACTTGCCCCCAGACTTCACGTCAGCATTCCCCACCATTCTCTTATTGTTGCCGCCCATCCCCTCCGTCGTCCCAAACTTCATTGGCAACTCCGCCTCCACCGGCCTCGGCACCTCCGGCGGAGTGCTGCATCGTATCAGCGCCCAATTCACGCCCTCAAAGAAAGGATGCTGCTTGATCTCTGTTGCACCCCTCTTCACCCCGAACCGAAGTTGCGGCTCCTTCACGAGCAATCCCCTTATCAGGTCTCTACTCGCGTAGCTCGTCGATGGCGATTCCGGGAACCGAAGCTGCTGCCCGACCACATTGAACAAAGTCGCCCGGTTTCCAGACCCTTTGAATGGAGTCTTTCCGTAGAGAAGCTCGTGGAGAAAGATGCCAAAGGTCCACCAATCAACAGCGCTGCCATGTCCCTCGCCCTTGATGATCTCGGGGGCAAGGTACTCATGGGTTCCTACGAAGGACATGGAGCGGGCGGAAGTTGGCTCTGCAATAAGCTCAGGAAGGGTGTTGGATCTGTTAGCCGGTGCTCCGGACTCGGCTCTTGTTTTGGTGGTTGTCTTCTTGTTCTTTTGAAGAAAGAGGCGGGGCATGAAGCAGGCGGGCTGGATGCAGACGGCTGACGGCTCCATGCAGGATGGTTGGACGCAGAATGAGCTGCCTCCGCGCTTCGAAGGATCAAAGTCGAATGATGTCTTTACGAGCGTCGGTGAAACGACGCATCTTAAGGATAGATCGAAGTCTGAAAGCATTATGTGGCCGTCATCACGAACAAGAACGTTTTCGGGCTTTAGATCTCGGTAAACTACTCCAAGCATGTGTAGATACTCGAGTGCTAGTAATACTTCTGCTGCATAAAACCTAAACACAGAAAGGAACTATCAGATTATTTGGAGACAAGATAAGATGAAAATAATAGATTCATAAACCAAATAAACTTTAGAAGCAAATACATTAAAGCTGGTGACATAAAAAGAGTTAATGTGGTTCGAATCTTACGAAGCAATACAAAGATTTTGTGGATTATTTTTTCCTTTATGACCTATAAAATCAAGCAATTGCTTAACTACAGACTCTTCTATAAGTTCAAAATTAGCTGCTTTTTAGTTCTAGTTTTCAGTTTTAGAGCTCTCGTGCAATAACTAGTAATATACTTGCATGAAAAAAGAAATTGATTCATGAACTATTATGACTGACAAAATTCAACGCAATAATTAAATTGTTCCAAACAAAGAATACAGATAGAGTCGTAGTGCTTTCTTCCCAATATGGACAAGGAAATGGTTTAAAAGCGAAGTATAATACAGAAACTACACAATTCTTGGATAGGAACAAGCAGCAAAGAAGGGGATTGAATAGATAAGGAAAATTAAACATGTAAAATTTCAGATTTTGATAAGTAATAGATTATTTCAATTTGAAAAATGTATTTGCTGCTTTTACATTAAAAATAGCTGATTTTACTAAGATTAAGAGTTGCTAATTGGTGGATTATGGTTTTTATGTGTTTTCATTATGCATCTCATCCTAAGACTGCCTTAGTAATCCTAGGCCTCTAGAAATTCATCAAATTAGTATTAGAGATTAAGATTACGCCAGCAAGTCAACTAAAAAGGAATTAATCGATTCAATAAGAAAATAATAAAGATGCAACTCAAGTAAAATCAAATAATTCATGGTCCTAACCAACATAAATTTCAAGAGGATCAAGGTTACATGCTGTCATTTGTTAGATGGTAACACCTAAAGATATCATTAAAACAAATCAATAATTTAAAATATTTGTTTGAAAAATACATTTATATGATTTAAAAAAAAAGCTAAAATTGTTGAAATGAAACTTATTGGGCATGCTCAAATTTATTGTTTCATTGCAAGAAACAAAATCAACAATGGCTGACATAAGACAACTTAAAAATAATATGCATGTCCAACTGATAATATAAAACCAATTGAATAATCACTAAGTTGTCGGCAAAGTAATTCTAGTGTGTGCGCATATTGTGAAAAGTTTAACAATCTCGTAATTAAGTATACTTTATTTCCGTGATGTCTTTGTTATCCTTTTTCGTTAGAGTTATCATGCAAGAGATTAGGGATGCCTTACCATTTCCCTGTGTAGGTATATTATGAATGCTATGTAGGGAATAACACATTTGTAGTTAAAATCCCCAAAGTCAAATATTTACCTTTTGCTCTTAACTTGACAAAAGAAAAAAAAAATTGGCACAAAATTAAACATGTTCAAATTTGATCTTAATACAAAAGTGCTGTTCATGAACCTAAGTTTCTAAAGGGCATAGAATCTATGCCTGAATGTGTAGCAAAATAAAACATGATTATTATAATCAAGGGGTCGGATGAGCAAAATAATAATGTGAATCCTATTTGTAAAAGTGAGCTTGAGCATATCAAGGATAAAGACTATTGATTTGATTTGAAAGTAAGGAAGAGGCCCAATTTTTGTTTAAAAAAAATACTTGCTGAAAAATATAGTGAAGTCATCACTACAAGCCAAATTCAAGTTGATTTTATTTTCAAAGCTTGATGTCTTGAAGTGCAAATTCATAAAGAGGGGCATAAGAAGAAAGTAAAATTTCAATAAATTTTTAATAACTGATGACAATAAAAAAAAAAGTTTGAATTAATCTTAAAATGTGTAAATCATCCCCAAAAATATTTAGTATATTTGGGTACGCTTTCTTTAAAGTAGTTTTCATGAAAGAGATCTTTTATATTTGTGTGACTTGAAAACTTACAATTTTCTTTGCCATATCAACATATAGAACTCTGTTAAAATAAGTATCCCATAAGCTGCATATTGATATTCTAATATGAACAACAGACAAATATAATTCAATCTAGGTGCATATAACTAATTTACATTTTTTTTTTTTTGTAATTAGTTTACTCAGGTCCAACCTCATTCAATGCTGCCCCTTTGGACTTTCAACTAAGTATCAGACTTCTATGCTCAGCATATTGAGATAGATGGTTTTTATTCATGAAACATTTACATACGTACCATATAATTCTCAAGCATTCATACATCTAAAGCCTAAGCTAACATAAATCTTTAACATCACATCAAAAATACCACTATCACTAACTTCTTTAAAAGTGAAATACACCTTTTCATGTATAAATTTTGATGTGATTATGACACAAAAAAGTTATAAACGTAAATATCAAATTTTAAGTATTAGATATGTAAATAGATAAAAATTATGTGGTACGTATATGAATTTTCCTTTATTTTTTGGAGGATAAAAGCGTCTTTCTTTGCTAAGGGCGTTAGCATTGATGCTTATAGTGGATTACTTGTATATTTAACAGATTTACCATTATGCCTTTCATTTTGAGTTTCCTAGACACAGTTATAGAAGTTCTAATGTTCATACTAAAATGCTATATGATGTACAAATAGTTTAATCATGTTAATTGATACATAAATTTAAATGGATTGAGATGTTCATATGATGACATAACATATTTCACATGTACCTGATCTTACCATACTACAAGTTTTGAGATATGTAAGTTTTATTTATTAAAGAGTAACGGTGTTATGATTTGTTAGGGGCACAATCCTTGAAGCTTCTAGATAGATGATTCAACCATTTAGCAGATTTTCAATTATGGCTTTTAATTTTTCTTACAAATTCCTATAAGTTTTAGTTTTCATATTGAAATGCAATATGATATGCACCTAGCTTTACATGTTAATTGATGCAAAAAATTTGAATCTAGAATGTTTCCAATAAGAAAAATATATATGCTTTTGGGTGGAGAATGTAAATGTTGATACTATTGATATGATTGCTAGTCAAACCATGAATCCATAGTAATGACTTTCTTGTGGAAAAGTTTCAAGTTGTTCAGGGCATCACGTCAGACTTTCAAGTTGTTCAGGGTATGTTGTTAGACTGACTATGTATAAAAGTATTATAATAAACGTATGATGAGTTATTCTGGTTATATATGAACATGCAAGTCATGGTATCACATGGATATGTTAGCATGTAAATGTATTAATTATTATTTTTCAAGCGAATAACTGTAAACATAATCAAATCACAAATCATCATATGATAATTGACATTTTTTTAGCATTCATGCATATAATACTATTCTAATCTGATGTTACAATAACATTTGATGCTAATATGTCATTGTTAACTGTGATATTTTATTGATCATATTGCATGACATGTGATGTGTCATCTATACTTTAATAAAAAGAAGTACCTATTGAGATTGCATGAAAAGCACATTTAAAATTAATTTTTCTCTTAGTAAATCCTAAAAGTTTGATTGTTTGATCATCATCACAAGAGCAAATCTTTTAAAAGTAGTAATTTTTTAGATTCAATATTTATGTTTAGTAATAGTTCCTCCTTTAGACTTGTATGGGCCTTCTATTATTAAATGCAATTGAAATTTCTTATCTTCCTTTTGTTTTCTTAGTTGGAGTTTAATTTTCCTCTTGATGAAAAGTTGCCCGAATTCTATTGCTTAAATAAAGCTCAATTCTGAACCATTTAACATATAGAATTTTCATTTGCATATGTTTGTACATGAGTCTTTTTCACATGAATACAAAATTTCTCTACAAAAATTTAGCTATCGAGTTTATCACACAAGTAAAGATCAAGTCACTTCAACTTATGGGGTGTGAAAAATTTAATGCTAATATATTTTCCTAAGAAGAAAACATTGATAGAATACTAAAAGAAGAGCGTTCAAAGTTGCATGGTGATCCCTCTAATATAAAATTAACAGCAAAAACTTCAAGCACAACTAACATTAGAAAACACCAACAAGGTATAGAAACATGTACATGAAAGAAAATAATCTAAACATTATTGTTCTCATTCTCCGTTTGGTACCTGGCAGCATACTCAGAGAAGTGTTTCCCCGGCTGTCGTTGTCTTAAGGTGTGCAAATCACCACCTGGACAGAATTCCATGACCAGACATGAAAACCTATCAGTCTCAAAATGTGTATACAAGGTCGGTAGAAAAGGATGATCCAAAAGCTGAAGAATCTCCCTTTCTGTCTGAGCCCTCGTCAACTTCTTCCGGCTAGCAAGCGAGGCTTTGTCCATCACTTTCATTGCAAAATAACATCTTGTCCCACTCAACTCCGAAAGGTAAACACTACCAATGTCACCGCATCCCAGCCGTTTCAGCAACCTAAAATGGCTCATCCCTAACACGCCATCACGAGACCGAACGGCAAGAATAGCCTTCCATCTCGGATCATTTCCCTTGTGAGGCTTATTACCGCTCCCAGTCATATTGCTCCAATTGCTATCATCGCTAAGCCCACTGCTGTCGCTTGCTCTGCTCATGCTTGTTTTCTCACTCTCAAGTGAATCTCCTCTAACACTTGCCTTTGTACTCTCACAATTCCTTTCCACACTAAGCATGCCATCACTCGTAATCCCCTCACTCCTATAAGTGCTAGTGCAACTATTCACGACACTCATTGCAGTTACAATGCCAGTGCTGTCGATGCTACTATGGGGGCTGACATTGCCGCTGGGAGGAAGAGAGGCATCCCATACACATTCCTTCTCTTCTGAATCCTGAGGCAAGTATGTGTTCTCCATACTCTGTGAAGCTTGATCAATGGAGAATGGGGATGATGGAGTAGCTGATGCTCTAGGTTCCTCAACCAAGCTCTCTATGGGAGAAAGGGAAGGAGTAGGTTTTATTCCAGGAACATGAATTGAAAGGTCTTCTATAAAAGGGCCTTTAACAGGTAGACCCTTCATCAAGCACCTTGTCTCCGGCTTGTTTTCATCGATGTTTACATATACTGTCTTCATAAGATCCATGTCTACTGGTTCTGGGGGATGGCTTGCTCCAGAGAAAGAAGTATTCCCCACTTCTTCGTAAGAATCACTGCTCTTTGAACTGTGTAAAACAGGCAACAGCTCCTTTTTTCCGTGGAAAGAGCCTTTCCCTTTCCATGGCTTCATGAGTTTATTCATATCTGGTGCATTGTATTTCTTTGAAACATGAGTGTCTTCTTGCTCGCTCAAAGCATTTTCATGAATAACTAGTACTTGATCATCAGAGAGGACCTGCCCTGGGGCACTCTTGGATTCAAGAACCTTCTCCATTTTCAGCTACACTATTGTATAACCTACATTTAGTGCCAAAGAGGGTTATCTGCACTTTGAAGGTCCTCTGTAGTTCATAATTGCAGCATCAAATCCATTAGAACGCACTGCTTTTATCTTGAAAACGCACTTCTTTGAAGATTTTCTACCAGAATCATGAACAAGATTTTCAAGCTCATGTGTAAAGATTTTTGTCAGGGAGTCAAGCTGCAATAAACGTTTGAACTCTTAGCAGCAACTGCAACAAACTTCACTTCTTTCCAAAGAAACCTGAGAAAATGTCAATATGAATCGCTCAACAGAAAAATAAGAGCTCCTATGTTCACGTTCCACTAACAACCCAAACAAAGAAAATCAATAAATTTCATGACCGATCAAAATTCACTTCAATAACAAGAAATTTCCAGATCCTTAAACTGAAATCTAAAATCAAAGGAACATGAGCAAAAACAAGTGAAAAAAAAATGTAGGTCCTTCTACTGAGGCCTAGAATAAAGCGCACTGGAACAAACAAAGCAATCCCATCATCTCGAAAACATTTGGAATCACCAAATCCAAGATATAAATTTGGAAGAACAAGATCTCTTTCCTTCCACTAGTTGCATTTCCAAATTCGGATCCTCCGTTCCCAGAGAGCCCAAATCCCTTTAAAACGAGACCTCCAAGCTCAAAAGAAGTAAAATTTTGGCATCTAAAATGACGAAAGGATGCAGCGGAGCCGATTCGAGTAACTCACCAGAAGAATCAGAAGATCGACTCCTAGTATTTCGCGAATTCAAGGTAGGGTTTTTCCTCGGTTCCCTTCTCAACCCTCTCTATCCCTCTTTCACTTCTCCTCACTACGGCAAGTGAAAAGCAAAAGAGCAACGCACAGAGTGGCAGAAGACTGGACAGACGGCAGCGAGAATCCTCTCCCAATCGTCTTTTTTATATATATACACATTTTTATTCGTTTCCGTTATATATTTACAGAACAGAGCGTTTGTTTTCCATGGCGAGCTTTTACGTAATCTGCTTTAATTACAGCTAAATCGTTTGTGAGAAATTAATCAACCGCTGCTGGGCCCCAAGAAAGGGTTCACGGGCGGCCCCACTGTCTGTCGCTTTTAAGCTGCATCGGCCTACCTTTAGACACCGCTTGAGGCCAGCTAATCATAAATCCATTGCTAACTTTTAGGCCGTTTGATGGAGATCACATGATGGATTGCTAGCGGTGATCATGACCATTCGCCGTTGCTGTGCGGTTGGCCAAGTGGTGATATTAGCCTAGGGTCTGACTGGTGCATGCTTATTTAAAAAAAAAAAAGGGATAATTACACAGAAAACACCCAAAATAATTGATATTTACAAATCAAACACTCAGGTGATTTTATATTTATGCATTGAGAATTTGATAAAAAAAGAAAAATATGAGTTGAGTAATATCATAAATTTCAATATTTAAGTGAGAATTTGAAAGGATTATAATAATTCATTGAGAAAATCAAATCACTTCCTCTCTTTCTTATAGCTCTCAAGATGACTTGGTTTGACCTTGCTTACCTTGACTTCTCCTTTAAGCTAAAAGAAGCTATTTATAGAAATCATGAAAGCGATAGATGGGATGTGGTAGGTGAACAATAGTTGGGAAAGTAGGTGAGCGGTAAGTGAGATTCTTAATTATGAAGACCGGGTCTCCACATTACCCAACAGTTTTTCCACATGCTTGAAAGATGTGTTGATATTATACAATAAATAGAAAGTTAGTTTAATAGAGTTTATGATGAATTTTGAAAATGTTTAAAGTTATTAAAGTAGTCTTTAAGATATTGTTTGTCGGAAGTTTGGTGGATCTTCATTGAGGATAGGACTCTAGAGATAAAAAATTCTACTAAAATTTTGATGTGGATGTCATGCATTGCTCTATTGAAAATCATGTGCATAAATATTTTTGGTAGAGAGGTTGGCAAGTATCGATGTTGATGTTGATGATTGGCATCAACCTCATAAGAAATAGCTCGCATTGACTGCATGCATCAAGCTTATAGGTAATGCCATGCATTGATGTTGTACATCGATTTTATAGGTGATTATGCACGCCGACAACATGCATTTGCTTTACAGGGAAATGAAGCACATGAGAGCATGCAATGACTTTAAAGGCAATTTTGTGCATTGATGATATGTATCGACTTTAGAGATGTCGACTGACGTGAATGGTGTGCATCAGCCTAATAAAAGTTGGTGGGAAATGACAGTTAAAAGATTAAAATAATAAAAAAAGAAAGTTGTAGCAGACATACAACAGAGATTGAGCGATCAAAGTCGAATATAGAGGTCAGTCAACCATAAATGTGCACTGAAGTTCGAACAACCATAAATGAACAATAGAGGCAAAATGGTTATTGGTAAGAGGTACTGTTTGGTTAATCATACTTAAGTGATGGTGTATAGTCCTTTGACAATGATCAAACCTCCATAGAATTTGGATGAAGATCTAAGATCGTAGGCAAGAAACTATAGTTGAGATTCATATATAGGTAGCCGTGATTGGGAGATCATAGTCGAATGATAAAAATATGGTGATAAGAATTAAGTTTATTAGTAATTAAACATTAGCAGTTAAACAATAGCGATTTGAGAATGGTTGTGATTTGCGATGTCAATAGTCTTAAGATGATTGACACATAGCAGTGGATAGACAACGGTGCCTTAATGGTGGTAGTCGGAGGACGGTGGACAATGATTGTGGAAGGGTGGTTTTGGTGGATGAGTTTGATGAGTGCCAATAATGAGATGCCTATTCGATAATAATAGATGGGCAACTGTGGAGATCAAGAAGGAATGGTTCATCAACGAGGATCAAGCAATGATAGCTTGATGGTGAAGGTCGGGCCGTGGTTGCCCAATGGTGATATACTAGTGGTGGCTGTTGAAAAATAGTGATCGTATGGCTGCAATCTAATAGCGACAATCAAATGATAGCAGTCAATCGACAGTAGTCCGAAGACGATAGCCTTCAGGCAATTCTCATCTAGCAATGGAAGTTGGGTGGAGCTTTAGGAATGTTTGAACCTTCGGTCTATTTCCATTCAAAGGCCCAAATTGACTCATTTGATTATGATAATTTTTTTTGTGTTAAAGCTCCTTATGTCGGAATTAAGAAAAATTTGTTGGCTCATTAGATTTATCTCAACGAGATACTTGATTTTATTATAACTACATAATATTTAGATATCATTTGACATTCTAATTAATAAACAAAACTTTTATAAGTGCTTTAAGCTCTTGATCGAGGCTCCTTTGGGTTCAAATCATATCATTCTTAACGTTATTGAGTTTGATTTTGGGTGATCCAGGCACAACCAAGATCTAAATTCCTGCAAATCTTCAAACTAGAACTTGGGGACTTAGGCAGTTATGGAACTCAATGTACATCGAGATTTGCACTTAATCAAGTACATTTTACTGGCGACGTTCAATTTCTAAATATTTAAATATATTAATATGATATTTTGTACAATATGGATGCAGGAGCATACAAGGAGTGAGATGAATGAAAAGAGAAGCTGTCATATTACTTACGTGGAGCCTTAAGTACCTCCTCTCTCTCTTATTTATTTATTTATTTATAATTAAAAAATCAGATCGAAATGAATCAAATTAGAATCATGTGGATCTCATCTATATTAAAGTAATTCAACTCATAATGCCGGGGTCCAACTTTCTTTCAATCATGCGCATAAAGCTGCCCTAATTGGTTGCAGGGGCCTTTCATGGATGGCAATGGTTCCATAATGATTCGGGCTCATGAATCGTGTTGACCAATACAATAAGGGAAATTTAGTTACAAGTCTCTCACAAAATTCATATTTATTTATATATCAAACACTTGAAAAAATTGATATTTACATTTATAACATCTTGGGTATCTTAAAATTACTAGGAGAAAATATTGTTTGTGATGTTTGTTATGCAATTTAAAAGATTTGAATGGCATGCATGTAAATATAAATATTTAGGTGCTAGGTATATAAATATATAATATTATGTGTTATGTATGTAAATGTCATATAATATTGCCCAAAAAAAGATTTCATTGGTGGCCGGTGCCAACAAATCTCTCCTTTATATGCAAATTTAAGGGTCCGTGCTTATAAGTGCAGGCGGCGTTTTCAAACCGTTTGGTTCGCACGTTTCGCCAGTTTATTCGAAACTGCGTTTGAGTTTTTACACTAAACGCGGGTCGCAGGTCGACCTCTGCGGCCGGCCCGCGGGCCGTGTTTCAGGATAAACAGCTTATCCTGAAACGCACAAGCTGCCCCAAACGGACCCTAAGTCTCATCACATTCATATGGTAGGAGTTGCATATTTTTTACATATATATTGAGCAACATATGGCAGATATGCCTTAAATCAATCAAGGGAAATATGTTTCCTTAAGGTATAACTCAGGACCATGATTAGTTATTAAATTTAGTTTGAGAAGAATATAATAATAATTAATTAATTAGTTATATATTATGCTCATATTAAACAAAGTCTATCTATGAAACTAATGTGCATTAGTATATTGTGAATGCATTAGATAATATGAGCCATATTTCAGACATAATTAAAACTAATAAAACATTTTTTTAATCAAAATGATTATAGCATGTCATACCTTCGCAAACTTAATCTACTCGTAACATCAAATCACATAGAGCTTAAGTGGAGCAGAGTGAAGATAATATTTTTCATCTCTATATTATAACATACATTCTCACCTCAACATGTATGCTTAAGTTTCACTCCAAAAAATAGATCATTAACATAATACATATATAGAGACATGCTGAAATAATAAATATGATTATAATGAAAATATTAACTATGATCTTTTATTTATACTGCTCATAAAATCACAATTCAAAATCTTCACCTCTATTTTCTCCCCAGAACTTCTAGTTGAACCCCTCCCTCTCCTTCACAAACTTCGCCAGCACCTCTTGTTTTTTTCTCTCTGATCTCTCTTTGTTTCTTTTAAACTCCCAAACTTAAAAAATTATACATTTAAGGCTTTCTACATGCTTATTAAGATTGTGCCACATCATTTGGCTTAATATTTTAGCTATTAGTATGAAGTTTGTAATTCTTTGGGGGTGTATGTAGGATTTCTCAGCATATTTTTAAAATATGACATTTTTCTATAAGTATGCTTATTATGTTGTATTTAATTCATGTTAAATCTTTCTCTTTGTGAAAGAAAAACTTTTGTGCTCATGTATATTTTATAACTGAGGTTAATAAATAAAATTTAACCTAAGTGAAGATGATCAAAGTAAATTAATCAAAACTAAAATTTAATTCATTTATAGATACATGACTTATTGGATTTTGAAATTTGGATGTTGCAAACACATGTTTTTATCTTATCATTATTATGTAATGTAATTTACATTATTGAAATTGCTAAAATTGAGAGGTTTCATGCTTGATGCTTTTTTCAAAAAATTAAAAGTAAAGGGGGATTTCATGCCCGCTTATATTAGAAGGAGAACTTGTCGTATTCAAGTTTTAAAAATAACCTCTATTGAAGGTTTTTAATATAAGATTCCTTAAATGTCTATTGTGATAATTTAACTTTTATAATAAATCTAGTTTTTTGATATTTAGTCAACAGTGATTTGTAGTGCTCATATGATATGATAATGCTTGAGAGTAAGTATTATCAAAGGCCAACCAGCACACCTAAAGATTAAATGTTCAAACTTAGAAATGCATAATTAAGATGTGTTTCTTTAACATTATCACCTCATACGCTTCATTTTGTGTGTGTCAGTGTGTATGTGTAAATATGTCATTATAAAATCACCATTAATGTAATAACAACATAAACGATTAGTTGCATTAATCAACTTATCATAATGTAACATTTGAAAATTTCCATATTTCAA